AGAGGGAGAAGCAGACTCCCTGCTGAGCAGGGAGCCCGAGGCGGGACTCGATCCTGGGACTCCAGGATCATGACCTGAGCTGAAGGCAGTCGCTTAACCAACTGAGCCACCCAGACGCCCAGTATTTTTTATTCTTATATGACCAAATCTTAAGCATATGTTTCTTTCCTCAGTGAGAGGATGATGTCATCACATCTCCACTGATAGAGGATACACCCTTGCTGTCTATAGCACTTACACACCCCAATTCCATCTTGTCAGTGAGCGGTGACACTTATAATAGACTCATTGTCGAGAAGGAAGACTTAATTGATTGAAATCACAAAGCAACAAGCCTGTCTCTCCATAATGAAGTTGGAGCCCAGAATCATCCCTAAGGGGCTGTGGGTAGAATTGTAGCGAGTTAGCTGCCTAACAGCCAACCTCTGAGACATATTTCTACACAGATGAAATTAGGAGAAGACAAGTTTTAAGCATCTGTGAAGGGGAGATTAGTAACAAAATGGCAGCCGGGAGCCTGAGAGGTAGTAGGGAGATGTGGGCAGGGGTGATCAATTTTAGTATGGTTTTGTCTTGGAGAGTTTTCTCGGCCTTTGTACATGATATAGATGAGTCTCAGAGTCAGGGCCGAATAGCAAACAATGGGCAAAGCAGAGAGCTGAAAGAATCTCGTGGACTCAAAGACATTCTGAGTTGGTAGAACTCTTGGGGGACCCGCTGTGTTAGATACAGATCCTACAAACCTCATGTTGTGCTGCTGTGGGACATTGGTTCATGGGCCCGGGGCAAGGGAGGGAAAGGAAGAGGGCTTTGTCATACACACTGACTGGCATGTGTGGGGTGCTGGGAAAACACCAGCATATTATCCTCAATTAATCATCCTCTCACATTTGGGTTTTTATATTAGAACTTTAAAAGGGGGGAGGAGGGATATCGTAGTCCTTTAAAAGGGTTAACTCTCCCACCTCTGCCCATTTTCTAGTCCATAGTGGAATATCACTATAACATCTCTTGATGAGTCACTCATCAAGAGGTAATTCAGATGACCTGTGAAAGCTGACCTTTCCATTAAGGTCCCAGTTTGACCTGCTTTAGGAAATTT